CAGATTTCAATCGATTCTCATTCGATCGATTAATTGCAATGGATACCTATGCCTCTTGACTCGTATGGGCGTATCCGTTGCTGTCTCTATGCGATGTCTCAGTATGTGCGTTGTCCCTAGTGGTTCACCTTCTAGGTCAAATACGTACGGAAAATCGTAAATTAATTCACGTGTTCGACTTATGTGCTGTTACACCCTGACATATCCACCAATTCCATAACTATATCACACTTTTATTATTTACTGTCCTGAGGGTCTTAATATTTACACTCTGTACGTTGTTTGTTCTGATAGGAGTATCTTTCAGTGGTTCTTTCCAAGATTCGAATATTCCATCGATAGACACGTTGCGTTGTCATCCTCGTTGACTCTTGGCTCATTAGTAAAAACCTGAGTAGCTTCATACTCAAAAAATTCTACTTGCTGTGCACTGACACTAACTCGATATTCGTTTGCATTGATGTATTCCGCAAATACATTATCATTGTGGTCAATTGCCACCAAGTAGCCAAAAAAAAAATTTTTCCCTAAATCTTGCAAGGGTAAAAATCTCACTTCATTAGACTCGTTATTTTTTCGAGAAATAGTGTCATAGGTAATATGTTTGGTGTGGGACGGTATAATGAATGTCTCCACATCTACAATCGGGAATTTACTCGTGTATACATAACGTGATCAGGCCATCCCTATGTATAAGAGAAAATACGTACACAGTTCAGTATTTTTTAATAAGTCTAAGGAAGCAAAAAAAATGTATTGATAAACAAATCAATACAATTTGTGAATTAAAAAGCTACTTATTGATATATGCATCGATATAACATGTATCATTAGAAAATATTAATGCACCTAATTTGTCTAGTTCCCTTAAAAATTACCTGTAAATAAAGTAAAAAGGGATGCAAGTTTGATGTTTTGAAATCGAAATTTTTGTTAATTAGGAAAGCATTTGAGAAGTCGTAATAAATTCCATTTTTAAAAGTAAGGTTTCAGTTTTACAAAATAACGAAATCAAATTAATGAAGGTCAAGTGTCTTTTTCATTTTGGCGCAGCATATATACACTCTTCGAATTAGACTTGCAGTATAAGACATTTAATCAATTACACATTAGCCAAATTAAACTTTGTGATTTCATGTGCAATAATATTACCATATGTACCATGGTTATAAATTTATAATATGACATGATGTTAAAGTATTTAACATGATATATTTTTTCTGTCTTTACAGGAATAACCTATAATTGTATTTACAAGTGTGTACATGTAATTACAGTACAAACATTGCAAGTCTAATACAAATGGTATACCACGTTGAAATGAAAAAAAAAAATTAACTTTAATGTAATATCAATTTTAAGATATTGTTTGATTCCAAGAACAGCTAATAATACAATAAATAATGACAAGTACTAAGGGCTATGCTGTTCAAATTGACTTTATTTTAAAAAACGACGTTTCGACTACTCCAAGGCAGTCCTTATCAAGTCACTAAAAATTAATATACAGCAATGGTAATATAAATATGTATATAAAGATGTACACAACAGAAAACGCACTAACAATGTATAAAAGTTTTATCTTTACTTACAATATTAAACAATAATCGCAGAGTGTCGTCAATGTGAGATGTTTATTCTACTCAACTGCGATATAGTACAATATATGGGAATTCTTTTTAAAGCTACGTGAGAACATGTGTGTGTAGTACTACAACAGTGGTGAACCTGGTGTAGTACAAAATCAGCGGTAATTTATGAAACTAAGTTTATTTTTACTTTAAAGAATCAAACTCAATATCAAGGAAAGTGGCCACTAACCGATAAAAAGAGATTGATGGATATAAATTGTTATGAATTATCAAATTATGAAAATTGTTATAAGTATTTGTTTATATAAAATTCAAAAACTGAGCTTAAACTTTGTGTATCTGTAACTTTGTTAACTGTATTATATTTTTTTATAAAAACCATTTCTGATATTAAACGCTTATAAAAATTTGGTTCATTATCTATAACTTTAAAATTATCAAAATCAAATGAGTGGCCATTGTCCTGTACATGATTGAAAATAGCTGATTCGTTCTTTTTACTTTTCACATCTCTCTTATGTTCATTTATTCTTTTTGATACGACTCGACTAGATTGACCAACATAACATTTATCACAATTTTTACATTTAATACAATAGACTGAACAAACTTTATCCTTATTTTTAATTGAGTCTTTTCCTAATTGGTTTAAAAATTTTTGTTTATTTACAGATTTAAAAATGGTTTTATAACTTACTTTATTTAATAAACTTTTGAAGTTACTATCACAATTTTTTATATACGGTAAAACAATATAGTTTTTGTTATCATCATTTAATTTTTTATTTGAATTATTATTATTATCATTTTTATTATTATAATATATAATTTTTTTTCTTCTCTCTGCGTGTTTTTTTATAAAATCGGGTGGGTAATTGTTTTCTTTCAAAATTTCATATACCTTTTTTAGGTTGTTATTGTGATAACAAGTGTCTGACAATTTAATTGCACGATCGACCAAAGAATAAATCACTCCAATTTTTTGTGACAATGGAGAGTGTGACCAATAATTCAAATGAAGGTTTGCATGTGTTGGTTTCTGAAANATTGTCACAAAAAATTGGAGTGATTTATTCTTTGGTCGATCGTGCAATTAAATTGTCAGACACTTGTTATCACAATAACAACCTAAAAAAGGTATATGAAATTTTGAAAGAAAACAATTACCCACCCGATTTTATAAAAAAACACGCAGAGAGAAGAAAAAAAATTATATATTATAATAATAAAAATGATAATAATAATAATTCAAATAAAAAATTAAATGATGATAACAAAAACTATATTGTTTTACCGTATATAAAAAATTGTGATAGTAACTTCAAAAGTTTATTAAATAAAGTAAGTTATAAAACCATTTTTAAATCTGTAAATAAACAAAAATTTTTAAACCAATTAGGAAAAGACTCAATTAAAAATAAGGATAAAGTTTGTTCAGTCTATTGTATTAAATGTAAAAATTGTGATAAATGTTATGTTGGTCAATCTAGTCGAGTCGTATCAAAAAGAATAAATGAACATAAGAGAGATGTGAAAAGTAAAAAGAACGAATCAGCTATTTTCAATCATGTACAGGACAATGGCCACTCATTTGATTTTGATAATTTTAAAGTTATAGATAATGAACCAAATTTTTATAAGCGTTTAATATCAGAAATGGTTTTTATAAAAAAATATAATACAGTTAACAAAGTTACAGATACACAAAGTTTAAGCTCAGTTTTTGAATTTTATATAAACAAATACTTATAACAATTTTCATAATTTGATAATTCATAACAATTTATATCCATCAATCTCTTTTTATCGGTTAGTGGCCACTTTCCTTGATATTGAGTTTGATTCTTTAAAGTAAAAATAAACTTAGTTTCATAAATTACCGCTGATTTTGTACTACACCAGGTTCACCACTGTTGTAGTACTACACACACATGTTCTCACGTAGCTTTAAAAAGAATTCCCATATATTGTACTATATCGCAGTTGAGTAGAATAAACATCTCACATTGACGACACTCTGCGATTATTGTTTAATATTGTAAGTAAAGATAAAACTTTTATACATTGTTAGTGCGTTTTCTGTTGTGTACATCTTTATATACATATTTATATTACCATTGCTGTATATTAATTTTTAGTGACTTGATAAGGACTGCCTTGGAGTAGTCGAAACGTCGTTTTTTAAAATAAAGTCAATTTGAACAGCATAGCCCTTAGTACTTGTCATTATTTATTGTAATATCAATTTTGTTATTTTGAGGCTAAATCCTTATTTTCAAAAATACAGTTGTTTGCCACTTTCAAAAAACTCTCAAAATTAGTAAGAGTTTTGAATTTTTAAATACAATTAAACTTGCCTAACCTTTTATTTTGATTATTAAAAAATCATTTTTAAAGAGATTAAAATTATGGTAATCAACTAAAAACACGAAATGTGATAATTAATGATCAATTTCGGAATTCGGTTTAGATCCATATACTTTTTTTCACCAGTATGTGTGTACAATATGCAAGGTTACTACCTGAAGCCATTAAAAGAGAGAATTAGTGTTTCGATAGGTATTATAATACAAAGATCATACGTATTGTCATTGTTTTGAGGTTGAACTTCATTTTACAAAATAATTTTTTTTTTTAATTTCAATGACTATTTTAATTAAAATTAGTCAACGTTTTCTTACTTACCTGCGAAAAGCATCGAGACGAATTCGGCTCATTCAGTTATTGTAGGGTGATATATTACTCGTTAACATACCAAATTTAGATCTTTCGATAATGCATAATAACGATCGAAATACGCGATTGTTGCGAGATTCCTGTACATTTGCGCCCAAATCTCGATTGACATTTTCTTACCAAAGTCACAAGCCCTTGTGGCTGTTTTATACCTGGAGACCTGGAGGCACACTTTTTTTATCATATTGAGCCAAAATAAAATTGCCGATAATTTTTTTTTTTACATTAAGTGCAATTTATAGAAGGTAATTGAAAAAAAAAAAAAAAAAAAATTTTGCAAATACTAACAAAAAAAAGTTTCTGTACAAGTTGTAATGCTTCTTTTCCAGTAATTATATGATAAATAATGCATTATTACATTTCAAGCCCAACTTTATATTGCAAACAAAAATATCCGGCCTCAAGTATGTTGACGTTAGAGGAAATGTACCTACGTACCTACCTGTCCCCATAAGTAAACAAACATAAAAATATGCTCAACGAACGAATCAAATGAATGCTCAATTTTTCCGAGTAGGTGTAATATGTATACGTATACATAATTATATCTGTCATCAACCGTAATCAGCGGTATTTATAACCTAAGTTTCATGTAAAGGCTTTGAAAGGCTTTCGACCAAAAAATAATAACTAGAATCCATCGAGACGTTGACGCGAGCGACATAAAAGAAGATGGCATTTTTTCAACTAATGCTCAAAGCCAACAAACTCCAAAGAGTAAGGCGCACGTACCACGATGAGAAACTGCGCTCGATCGAAGTATCAAAGGGCGAGAAGCCGCGCTACACGTTGGGTCAAAAAATACGCCACCAGAGAGTCCTGTGCGTAAAATTCATGTCCAAGGGAATTCCCTATTTCTGGATATCGATTAAATAAAACAGAGGAAAATCCAACAGGTTGAGACGCAACGTACGGAGGGTGGTGAGAAAACTGGCTTGCTGCCCGGAAAGCTCGTGGGTGTATCAGAAGGCGGTTCTACTGCGAACCGAGGGTACAGTGGAAAACTACGTATTCAAGAGCATTTTCGGCTTTCTCGGCGGGGTCGTCCTCACCTACGTCTTCTTCGTCTTCTTCGTCTTCCAGCTCCACTTGTCCCTTACCATAGCCACTCTCCTGTGCTCCCTCCTCGGTTTACTGTTCACCATCGGCTTAGCCTTTTTCCCCTACGTAAGGTACAAACAACTCACCCACTATCACATACGACCACGCAAGTATGGATTGTACAAATACCACGTACACGTATTATTTAACGAAAGCCCCATTAATTTTTTTTTGTTTTCATATCCACGCGTAGGTGCATTATCCTCCTCTTCTTGCCGCAGTTCTTCTCGAAACGCGGGCGCCAGGCTCTGATGGCCTACGCCTTCATCTTGACCCTCGCTGGTCCAGCGAGAAATACCCTGCACAACTTGGGCGCCCTCTCCGAGTCGCTGGCCTGTGTACAGGTAAAATGCCCTGGCAAAGTGACGTTTGACACGAGTGTCGCTCATTTCGGTCCCCGGTCCCCAAAACAGGAGCAGTTGAAGGACGCCGTGAGGTCCGTGATTGAGCTGGTGAAGCACCCGTTCTACGCCCTCAGGCAGTCCCTCGTCCAGATCGTCAGGTCGATCAAGGCAGTCGCGAGAAAGATTAGGCGGATGCTGGTGGCGACGAAGAGACTCGTCATGAGCATTCGTAGGTCGATCGGCTCTTAATCTGAAATTCACGGTGTAGTAACCCCGAGGGTACCTCCCCCCCCCCCCGTTGCAGTGCAGGTGATCGAGTCGGCGTTCGAGTGGTTGGCCAGCGTGGTCTCGCTGTGCAACAAGGAGTTCGGCACGCCGTACGAGAGGTGCCAGGCCATGTTCCAGAGGGCCCTCGAAGACTGCCGGTGGCGTCTGGGGGACAATTTCGGCAAGATGTGCGTCGTTACTGGCGCCGCGCGGGTCGTCTGTCTGCCCCTGAAACCCCTCGATGTCATCTGCGGCCTCGTCTCTTACGTGTCCGACGCCATTGTCGCCGAGGTCAAGCAAAGTGGGTCCAGCTATAATATATTAACGACAAATATCACATTGTAGACACGGTACACATCTCGTTTGCCCCTTTTTGAATGTTGTTGCCCACAATTCATTTATCCACGTTTCTACTAGGCCGTACAATTTTTTAGCTTGAAATGTCTGTGACTAGAACCGAGTAAGGCTTGCGTGAAAATTTTATACGATGATTATACACCCAAATCCAACTGTTGAAAAATAAAATACGGAATCTGTACTGAATATCAGGTGCATCAAAAACTTTTTTCTAGAATCAACCGAAGCTTATTGCTAAATCTTTGGCTACCAGTTCATCATGTAATGATCGTCAAAACAGCATTAAACGCATTAAAAAATACTAGAACCACTGTTGACTTTGTTAAACTTCGATCTTGCAGTTCTTGCTTGATTTATTGAACACAGTTTTTGCTATTACTGTTGAAAATTGCATCTTTTGAACTTTTGGAAACCATTGAAAACGATAACTATTCAACATCTCGAACGAAATAAGTGTCGTACAAAGTTCGATTTGGTTCAAATCGGTAACTATTTTAAACAATAAGTTAAAAATTAATAAACAAATTGGTTTATAAAGTCTAGATTTGAGACAACTAGTAAAAATTATTATTCACAATTTTCTGTCGCAAATTATTATTGAAACGTCTTAATACTTATTATTAGTTATCATTTTTTGTTTTGTTTACGAGATTGATTGGTAAGTGCCCGCAAAAATTATTTTTTTTTTATCTGATATACAATACAGTACAATGAAAATAATCTGTTACTCGCAGCAGTTATTAATAACTATTAGTTTTTGAGAAATTTCAAACATCAAGTATCAAGTAGTGACAATTAACAATTAATTATTATTATTCTCTATGTTTCTTAAATGTTATTTATGACAAAAAAAATAACGACGACTGATAATAAAAAATAATATTACTTATAAAATATTATTACTTGTCTGAAATCTGGACTCGAACTAGAATGATAAAAGCTTTTTATTTTGAATGAATATTCCTTCGTATGTACCCAATGACTTTTCATTATTACTGCAGAGTTGAGGGCCTTCAGCCGGGGTATGAGGGCCATGTTCTTTGTGAGGATCAGGTTCAAGCACGAGTACCACATGGAGACAAACAAAAGCCGTAACCTCGGGGAAATATCCGCCGAAATATCGTCCGAAATCAAGTCAAGGACTCGCCGTTTTCTAGGGATCTTCGGCTGGGCCGGTTTACTTGCCTGCTTCTTCTTCTTTTTCCTCGTGTTGCGGTATACCTATTATACACATATAGATTGAGCTTCACCTTGAACGACGAAGAGGGTCCTCCGCGTCGACAATCATCTCCCTGACACGTAATCTTGTATTATTTTGTCACAGAGTCATTCACTACCGATACAAGTGGCTGACGAGTGATCGTTTCGACAACCACTACCTGACCGGCCACATGCGTGACATTGACCTGAGGCGCGCGCGCCAAGACAAAGAGACCTTGTTTCCCCTAAACTGGCGAGAACGCGCCAAGTACATAAAACCGACTTCCATCCTGTTGGCCCGATCTGAGAGAACGAGGCTGGCCAAATCGGCAGTGTTCTTGGCGCTAGCCTGCGTCAAGCTCGCGGTCTACTTGGCCATAGATTACTGCCTCTTCTGGACCCTCGACACAATCAGGTACCACGGCAAGATGAGCCTGCTCCGGCCGCGAGAGCGCCAGCGCCAAGCTTTCGCGGCATCCTCCGTCCAGGTCAAGGGCACCGGCTTCCTGGCCGAGCTGTTCCGTGGCATCGCCGGGGCGTTTTCACCCTACGGTCGCGCCAACACCCAAGTGGAGGACTCCGCTTGCCTGCCCGAGCCCAGACCTCCCGACTACGACGGGTACGCCCGAATAGCCACCGTGGCTCTTCTCTGCTGGGTCATGGCGTTCTTTGAGCCCTACGGACTGAGGTTGCGCCACGCGGTGCTCAGCCAGTACTACCCCGACAGGGCGAAGCAGCGCGCCGTCTGGCTGTACAACCGGATCCTCAGGTCCCGCGGCTCTTTCCTCAAATTTGCCAGGCGGCAGCTGCGTCGCAAACTTGGCACTGCCTTTCACGCCGATGTCGTGGGTATCGAGCAGGTGACCCTGCGGGAACGGCTTCGGGCTGTTTTTCCCTTCCTGGACAAGTTGCTGGGCCCACCGCGATCGGGTGGACGTGCTTGTGTACTTTGCGGCCAGCCCGAGCGGTCGTCCTTGGCACCCCACGTGGCTTGCCCTACCCCTGGGTGCGCGGGTCTCTACTGTCCCCAGTGTTTCCAGGACCTGGGCAAGCTCTGCACGGTATGCCTATCGCCCCTGGACTACGGGGACCTCACGGACATCAGCGAGGAAAAGTGAGTCCTTGTGTAACTGTGGATTCCAAACTGGGTATACTGTACCATTGTGCGATTCGTGCAAATATGGAATCACAACTATTTCCTGCATACTAATTCCCTGCTAATGATCGATCAATGGTCAAAGTGGTTTGGTTTACCCACCTCAAAGTAATGACGTACCTTTGTTACGTAATAAAATTACTTACGTCATGCAATAATGCGAATCTTGTGACATGTTTTCATAAAATCTGACGATACTCGGGAAAAAATTAACAGCTAAAAAGTATGGCTTAAAATTTAACTCATAATTCAGATTTATGACGTGTATTTTTATCTATGTTCAGGTAAATTTTCAACCGAAAATACAGATATACAAGTATGTTCGGGCACCCGGTAAAAAAATTGTATTTGCTTACACGTTAATGCTGTACACAAAATAAGCGACCTCTCTAAATGTTACCATGCTGATAATTCAGCCAATTTATTATAATTTTCAGAAGTAAAAATATTTTTTTTTAAATTAAATAGCATGTAAATAAGTTCAGTTCCCCACTTTAGGTGTTACAATTTGCATGATAATACCTTCCAAGACCACTAACTGTGTGTACGTTATCGTGTAAGCAATTAAAATTTTTTTACTGGCTGCACGTACATACATTCTCAGTTAAAAATACAGCTGAAAAGTAAAGTTTAAAGTGTAGTTGAATATAGATAAAAACACATCGTACAGCTAGATATTTAGCCACATTTTTAGCTACAATTATGAGCTATATTTCAGCTATTTATTTTTTTGCGAGTATTGTTAAGTGATAAAATTAGATCATGAAATAGATTGTTCTATATGTTTATTTGTTTGTTACACACGTAGCAAAATTAATGGTAGTTTTCCTACGAGTTTGAAAAGTCTCTGTTTGCGAACCGAGACGTTTGTGGCCCGAGCCGAAGGCGAGGTCCGTAACGAGGTTCGTAAAGGAGACTTTTCGAACGAGTTCCGGAAAACTGATTTTTCGCCCGAGGAAGTACCAGCCTCCCAAAACCACCCGAGGGTGGAAAATATTATTATTTACGTTTTTGGTAGTTTTCGTCAGATAAGAGCCATCGCATCCAGGGCTATTTTGCGTGGTAACCGTGGAGCGATGGCGCTTATGTGGTGAATATTATTTTTCCTACCGAGGGCACACCAGCCTCTCAGAAATACTTGAGGTAGGAAAATATGTTTTTCTTGCCATGGGCACAAAGTGCATCTAGCGCTATGTGCCCTTGGGCCACACTTTCTGCCCTTGTAATCATTTGAGCCCACGGGCAGAAAAGTTTTTCAGGCCCAAAGTACTTCTTTGCTCTAAGGCCGAAAGTGATTTACTGGGCGCAAAGTGAGGCCACGGGTGCAAATGGTAGTTTTCCTACGAGTTTGAAAAGTCTCTGTTTGCGAACCGAGAGGTTTGCGGCCCGAGCCGAAGGCGAGGGACGTAACGAGGTTCGTAAAGGAGACTTTTCGAACGAGTTCCGGAAAACTGCTTTTTCGCCCGAGGAAGTACCAGCCTCCCAAAACCACCCGAGGGCGGAAAACTGTTTTTTCGCCCGAGGAAGTACCAGCCTCCCAAAACCACCCGAGGGCGGAAATGATACATTACGTCACTAGGGAACAAAGTACAGGTTGTTGTGTGTTGGTGCCCGAGCCGTGTATAATGTTTTTTTTACCACGAACACAAAGTGCAATTTCGCTCCCGTGGGCACACTTTGCGCCCAGTAAATCACTTTCAGCCCTAGAGCAAAAAAGTACTTTGGGCCTGAAAAATTTTTCTGCTCGTGGGCTCAAAGTGATTATAAGGGCACAAAGTGTGGCCCAAGGGTGCAAAGCGGTAGATGCACTTTGTGCCCATGGTAAGAAAATTTTACTTTGCGCCCTCGGTAAAAAAACACATTATACATGACTCGGGCACCAACATACAACAACCACGCCCTTCAGGCCCTAATGTTTGTACTTTGTGCCCTAGTGACGTAATTTACATACCATACATTTTATAATGTGTAACATAATAATGGGATTTTGTCACGTTTTATCAAATATGTTACACGTTTTACGCCATTGTATTACGTAATAAAGATGAGTCATTCTTTTCTGGAGGGTGTTTTAACTAGAGTTGAGTTTAATGCAAATGACTAGCATTTTTGTTAACAGAATTACGTTTATAATTTCTGATGATTCGATGTTTGCATTGTACATAGTGATTCCCTTTTTACTGGTCAGAGACTCCTCCGAGGAGGAATTGGACATGTCACATCTGAAGAAAAAAATGGAAGCGCTGAGGGCCAAGGCTAAGGAGGGAAAAGTTGAAGGAGAAAAGGAAATCACAAAAGAAGAAGCCAAAAAGAAAGATGAACCCGTGGCTGATGGTTCGGATGATGAGTCATCGAAATACAGCTACAGTCAGTTCAATCGGTGATAAAATTTTGTTTTTACATAATGGCCATTGTCATATGATTATGAAACTGGATAGGTTACCAAGACGAATCAGCAGACGAAAGCGTGTCACTGCCTTACAGATCTCCTTTTCGAGACGTCGAAGCTCAACAGATTCGCGATGACGTGACAATGCAGGTGAATATTCCGTGTGGAGTATAACCACTTTGACACGTATGTATTGGCCGGGTGTAAGTAAAGTGCTGCCCTCACTTGGGTCTCCAAGCTCACGTAAATTCTTAGAGAGAAAAAATTAGCTCGGTGACCGCCACTACCGAACTTGGGCCTCCATTATAGAATTGGCATTTCCATAAAACTGCGTGTTAAAATGACTGGTGGCGCCAGCCCTCCCCTCCAACGACTTGCACCCGGCCAATAGAAAAATTTCATCATCATTTCTATTGTAAGATAAGTATTCGTAAATCAGGATTTGGTTGTAAATTGAATGTACTCACATGAAATTCTTACATTTTATAAACTCAAAACGTCATCGACAGTGAATACCTGAATAAAAATACCAAAATTTTGTTATGAGAATTACTGTTTGAAAACAATCCAAAGATTTTTAGCGAACCTTCATGCGAGGAGGAATCGTCAAACGGCAGAGTTCGGATGTTCTGTTTTGGTCTTGGTAGGAAAAGAAAACGGAAAAAGCGTTCGGTCCAGGGAGAAGATGAAAAGTCGGACTCTACGTCTGTTGCCGATACAGAGTCTTGGACTACGGAAGAAGTCGAAGATGAAGAAGAGGAAGGAGTCTTGGAGATCGAAATCGAGGACTTTGACGAGCAAAAGCATTCTGACGACGAGCTGTTGCCTAAAACTTGTGGCAAAAAAAGACGGCACAAAAAAAGAAACAAACTCATGCATCTGTTTTCTTCATTAGGAAAGGTTTTTTCTTTTAAGAAGGTAGTTGAAAGCAATTTAAATTAACACAAAAGCAGAACAGTCGATAAAAAATTGTCATAAAAATATGTTGCAGAAACAAAAAAAGGCAAAAAGTTTTTGGTACAAGAATCGAAAAGATTCCATTAACGCCTGCTACGACACGGAACACTCGTCCTCCTCGATTTTGTCCAACACATGTGATGAAAATCTTGATCTCTTACCTTTGCAAAGAATTGAAAAAAGAGATAAGTCTACTTTGAGAAAGAGAAACAGTGGCGGCGCTGCAAAAGTTCCTGAGATAGAGCGAGAAAATTCTTTCAAGAAAGAACCTGTGCAAAAAAAGGAAAAACCAAGCCATGAGAAGTACCGTTATCCACATGAAGTCAAGTTTGAAATAAAAGAATTACCAAAGTATACTCAAATTTTATTTATGAAGACAAGGCAAAAAAAATGAAATGAACGTCTATAAATTGATACAAAGTACATGAAAGATATGAATCGTTTGAAGGCACTTACAGTCGGTGTGTGAAGAAGTGAAGTACTTTGAGGTTGACGAGAGTAGTAACTCCTGGTATTCTCCGCGGGAAAAGATTCGATGTCAGGTTGACAACAGCACGCTCACCGACTCGGGATCGTCCGTTGACAGTGATTCCTCTCGCGAAAGACTGAGTTCGTCCAGCAACGCTGATAATGTAATTTTTAGAAAATATTAATTTTTAAGTTGAATTTTTTAATAATGTGCTCGCCAGTTTTGCATTTCAGAGCTTTTTTTTTTTTTTTTTTTTTTTCTCTTTTTTTAGCTTTTTATTCCTGAAATCGTATTTTTGTAGTCTAAAACCTAGATTTTTGCATGACCAATCCTACAATTTTAAATATACTTCAGTACCTATGATTTATCTGAGTGATTCTCATATTTAGAGATACGTTAGTATTCTAGATTTCAGACTGCAACAAAATGATTTATGGTATAGAGACCGTAAATATAAGTGAACGGGATTGGGTGCATCAACCTCCAAAATATGATCTACTCTATATAGATAAAATGACATTTTTTCTTATTTTTTATTCTTAAGTAATGTTGACACGAGCCAAACCTAAAATTTACTGTGTAAAATTACTGCCGAATTTCACGTCAAATCTGTAAATACAATACTATTGAAGGTAATTGAAAATATTTCTGCGATAAAATAATTATTTGCGTACCAGGTGGTGCATTGTCACCAGAGCAAACATCAGGACTCTTTGTCCTTGCTCTGGCTGAATGCGCACCAGGCATAAAAATAATTTTTCCTACTAATTGAACGTACAAAAATAAGGAAAAAAAAAAAACGATCAAAGTAAGACATAGTACATTTCGTACCATCGGCGCGAGGTATAACTCACGCGCTCGAAAGGCGGGATTGTTATAGGTTTGCGCTCGAGTCACTAACGACATTTTTCTTTTGGCGAGCATTTTGCGTCCATGGGTACACTTTGCGCACACCAAGGGCCGAAATAAAGTCCAGATTGTTAAAATAAAAAAAAAAAATTACGTTTTGATAGTGCATTGCAAGTCTGTACATTTAATCCCTTAAATTTAGAAAGTAATTGATGCTCAAGTATCCTTATCTGACTCTTTCAGGATTCATATATTTACACGTCCGATAATAACGAAAAATGTTACGAGACCCACAGTTCGAGTTCGGACACTTTTTTACCGTCAGAGGTACTGGAGTTATCTGAAAATTCAAGTGACTTTTTGGGTAATCATTAACTTGCGTTTATCCTTGTTCATATTTACTGACAAAACATCAAATTTTATGTTTTCTTCGATATTGTAGTAGAAGACAAGAAGACAGTTTGGTTTGATAACGACAAAGTGTCTAATAAGCTTGGAGAGGACAAGATAGATGAGGATAGCAATGAAAAAGGTACACAATGCAGTAAGAAAATCATTGACCGGAGAAAAAAGTTTCGCTTACCTATGCCGGCCGAAGATACGTATGCCACAGACAATTCGTGGCGTAATCGAGAAAAAATAAAAACAGACCGAAACGAACGAGACAGCAAAACATCTCGGGACTGTAAGATATTAAGGGACAAAACGGATGATTTGAAAAAGGACAAGGTAGAGAAAGAGACTGCAAATGCAAAAAAGAAGATGTCGTCTGATTACGATAACGACAGCATCGTCGAAAAAATCGACAAATCAATCGGTGTTCAGGAAGCAGATATAGAAAAAAGTTTAAGGGGAGCTGACGAGAAGACCTTCACGATAAGGTAATAAGTGTTGAATTTTTTCAATGAATTTCCTTGCAGTTTCACAGCACGCTGCAAGAATTTACTTTTAAAAAGGGGATCAAGCACTTTGGGTCGTTTATACATATAGTCGAAGAATTGTCATTTTACAATAATATAAATGTAAATTGGCACTGAGATAATTTTTGAAGTTATACTTCTACTGGTGCGTTATGCGCGAGAGTAAATCAACGATTTCAAATTTTGACCTTGAGAAAAAATGTAATGGAAGTGGATTTTGCTTGATTCTCCCCCTTCACCTCGACCCCTGTGACGTACTTCCGGTCCCCTTCGCACGACACATCACACCAAACATTTTGAATTTTATAAATTTTGTTTCTTTTCGATTTAACCAATTCTAAAAAAAAAAAAAAAAAAAAA